GCTTTCTGCCAGGAAGACAGTGTCATCTGCATACCTTAAATTATTTATGTTTCTCCCACCAATTTTCATTCCTCCTCCTTCTGAATCTAGTCCAACTTTCTGTATGAGAGGGTCTGCGTACAGACTGAACAGATAAAGGATAAAATGCACTCTTGCATGACAACTTGGCCTATAGTAGGAAACTATTTTGTCTTTCCATATTCTGCTGTAATGGTAGCTCCTTGTCCACAATACAGGTTATGCATCAGGACAATGAAGTGCTGAGACACCCCTATTCCTTTGAGAACAACCCACAGTTTCTCATGATCTTCACAGTCAAAGGCTTTGCTGTGGTCTATAAAGCACAGACTGATCTTCTGAGGCTCGTCGGAGTGCTCCAGTACCCAGTAGACATTTGCAATATGATCTTAAGTGCCTCTTCCTTTTCAAAATCCAGCTTGAACATCAGGGACTTCTCACGGCATATAAGGTAAAAGCCTTTGTTGCAACACCCTAAGCAACATTTTGCTTGTGTGAGAGATTAAAACAATGGTATTGTAGTTATTGCATTCCTTGGCATCTCCTGTCTTTGGAACTGGAATGTACAGTGGTGCCTCGCTTAACGATGTTAATTGGTTCCAAACAAACCATCGCTATGGGTAAACATCGTTAAGCGAAACACTATTTCCCATAGGAATGCATTGAAAACCGGTTAATCCGTTCCAATGGGAACGGATTACCGTCCTTAAGCGAAAATCGCCATAGGAAACATCGCTAAGTTAAACAATGTTTCCCCCAACGGAAAGCCATTCAAAAGCATTGCAGCCGGCGCTTTTGAATGGCTTTTCTATGTCCGTTTTTGCTCATTTTTAAGTGTCTTAAAATGTTTGAAACCTGTTTTAAATGCTTGGAATCAGTAGTCCACCTTGTGAAACCTGTGCAAACTTAATTTGGCTCTGTTCTGAGTCTTCATTAATTTTTGGTGATTTTTGTTTTTCCCCTTTAAATGCATTGAACGGACAGTTCAATGGATTTAAAAGGGGAAAACAAAAAATCACCAAAAATTAACAAAGACTCAGAACAGAGCCAAATTAAGTTTGCACAGGTTTCACAAGGTGGACTACTGATTCCAAGCATTTAAAACAGGTTTCAAACATTTTAAGACACTTTAAAATGAGCGAAAACGGACATCGTTAAGTGAAAATCCCCTATAGAGAACATCGTTAAACGATGAGGAAAATTCCTCCAAGAAATACATCGTTAAGTGAATTCTTCGTTAAACGAAGCAATCGCTAAGCGAGGCACCACTGTATATTGAGCATTTCCAGTCTGTGGGGTATTGTTTGTCTCTCTCTGTGTGTGTGTCTCTGTGTGTGTGTGTCTCTGTGTGTATCCAATCCACACTTCTTTCTTTTCTAATGCAAATCTACGAGCTTACTACTGCTCCCATCAGCTTTAGTTAACATAGTCAATAATGAAAAACTATGAGAATTAAAACCTAAAAATATCTAGAGTCACTTTATGACTAGTTCTGAAGAGAGTTAGGCTGAAAGGCTCATTTAAGCATGAATTTCACTGAGCGCTTTGGGGAGAGCCCAAAATCTATCAGACTAATCTACTTGGCAAGACTATTCTCCAGATAAAAGAGATGAGAGAGAGAAAGGAGATATAATGCCCTGAGTCCTTGGAGAAAGGTTTTTTTAATAGAATAGCTAAATGCAGGACTTTTTTTACTGCAGTAACTGTGCAACATTATTCCAGCTCCTAGAATAAAAATGTGAAAAAAGGCGGGAGCTTATCTCATTGCTACCTGCAGCCGGACGAATACATTTCTTTCTATATGAATCATTTGTGAAACTAAAGAAGAAAGTAGCTCTTGAGTCAATTGCCAATTTAACCTGCTTGTTTGATGCCAGGCAGTTAAGAGTGAAACAGGGTGGATAGGAACATACATTTGCCTTGGGCAGAAAAAAAAACCTGGTTGAACCTGAAGTAAGTAATTGCATGGATCTGAATCTAGTTTTGTTCCTAAGCAGAGCATACTTCTGAATGGTAAAAAGGACCTCCAAATATCTTATTAAAGAAAGGACAGACTACTGGACCTAACATATTAAACATTAACATTGCTTTTCCAGGCAGAATCAATTGAAAGCAAGCTTAAGAGAAGTGAGCCACCCACGTAATTTTTTCTACTGAAAAGGCTGTAACACAGAGATATCATTTAAAACTGTGGTCTTTTGTGATATTTTGGAGCCCTCCAGTTTCTGGTGGAGGGCTCAAAAAGATCTTCACCCTTTAAACAATGTGGAAACCCATCCTGCTTCTTTCCATTGGAGCAGAGCCCTTGGCTGATCACACCAATGCCCTCCCGGAGGAATGCTTGCAGATGCAGCTTAGAACATTTTGACATCATTGCTTCTGGCACCGAAGGCCTTGGATCAGCACACAAATTGTTTCTTTAAAAAATGCCACTGCAGCTGCAAAGGAAATAATAGGATTGTGTGCAATCTGAAACTCTGCCCCCAAAAACCCCTTTAATGTATAAAGGTTATTATGCAAATTGACTATATAGTATCTGCATTTTTTGCAACATTCTGCAAATATTGATAAAGTATACTTGTTTATATAAGGAACATAAAAAGAGCCCTGCTGGATCTGGATCAGGCCAAGGGCCCATCTAGTTATCTGCATTTTTTTGCAACATTCTGCAAATATTGATAAAGTATACTTGTTTATATAAGGAACATAAAAAGAGCCCTGCTGGATCTGGATCAGGCCAAGGGCCCATCTAGTCCAGCTCCCTGTATCTCAATAGTGGCACACCAGATGCCTCTGGTAGCACACGAGACAATGAGATCCCTGTCTCCTGATACCTCTTCCCTGGATCTGGTATTGGAGGTCACTTCCTTCTAAGCCTGGAGATTGTACAGCCCCATCATGGCTTGTCACTTGCGATGGTGTTTTCCTCCAGGAATCTGTCCAATCCCCTTTGAAAGGCACCTAGGCCAGATGCCATCACCACATCCAGTGGCAAGGAGTTCCACAGACTAACAACACACTGGGTAAATCAATATTTTGTTTTGTCTGTTCTCACTCTCCCAACACTCCATTAGAGTGGATGCTCCCTGGTTCTGGTATTGCGTGAGAGGGAAAAGAGCTTCCATCTATTCACTTTATCCATCCCCTGCATCACTTTATATGTTTCAGTCGTGTGTCCCCCCCCAGGCGCCTTTTTTCTAGACTAAAGAGGTCCAAAGGCTGTTTTCTTTCCTCATAAAGGAGGTGCCCCAGCCCAGTCATTGTTTTAGTTGCTCTCTTCTACACCTTTTCCAGTTCCATGATGTCTTTTTTGAGGTGCGGTGATCAGAATTGTATGCAATACTCCAGGTGCGGCCTTCCCGCATTTCGTTGCATTTTGGTTTTTAATCAATGACTAAAATCCAGCAGTAAGCCACAACTCATGCATCAGTGGGGATCTGAATTTGTGGGGCTCTGGTGAGCCAACTCCTCTGTCGATACTCAGTGGTTTGGGTTTCTGGATGGGAAGCCAGAGGCTGGGAGTTTGATTCCCCATTTGTGCCTACTTCACAGGGGCTGCACTTAATCATAGAAAAGTGAAGCTGGAAGGGGCCTATAAGGCCATAAAGTCTAACCCCCTGCTCAGTGCAAGAATACGATCAAAACATTCAACTAACATCTGGCTTCCTTTAACTTGAGTCTATTGTTGCGTGTCCTGCAATCTGGCATAATTGAGAACAGATCTTGCCCTTCCTCTGTAGGACAGCCTTTCAAATATTTGGACAGTGTGATCATATCAGCCCTCAGTCTTCTTTTCTCAAGGCAGTGGAAGACAGAAGGGCCTGGCATGCTCTGGTACATGGGGTCATGAAGGGTCGGACACGACTTAACGACTAAACAACAAAAATTTATGGATTTAGCCAACATCAGTTTTCATCTTATCTCATTAAATCCCTGATTTGCTCCATGATGTGGAAATTTAAGTCTTTAACTCAAACTGCTATTCAAACACACCAGCCTTGCTGTTTGCTCCAGCTCCAGCTCAATCTACTCTCTCTTTCTCTCTCTCCTTTTCCTAGTAGGCATGTGCCCTCAAAATATCATCCACATACTTCTGCAGATCAAACTGGTCACAGAAGCATGGATTCCCTGGTGAGGTGCTCCCCCTACTTTTTCCACATCACCCCAAGTTTCACCCACAGATCTCAAGTCAAGTTGTTCATGGAAGGCACAAAAACATCTCTTATGGGCACCAGGGTTCCAAACAAACCCACTTCCCTCCCAGTAAATTAATTTATCTCTGGTTTCTTCTTCGATTTTATTTAGGTATTTTTATCGGTTACAATTACTGTATTTCCCTACTTTCCTTCCAAAAAGGGAAGTATAAATAACTCCTTCTCCCCAGTTGGCTCTCCGGTGAGGTAGGACAATCTGAGAGGGAGAGAAAATGATAAGATTATGTTATGGGTAAGTGTGAACTTGAACCCAGATCTCCCAAACCCCACTTCAATATTCTAACCACTACAGCCCCCTGTCTTTTAGGCCCAGGAGCAGGCTGGAAACCTAAGAAAGTGAAAAGCACAGCCAGTGTTCCCACCGAGGGAAAAAAATTTCAAAATTAGGATGAAGTAATACTTCTATTGGATGGGCCAGTAAAATATCATTTTTTAAAAGAAAAAAGAAAAGGCGAGCTTCCCAGCCTTCAGGATTTTTCATCAGGCTGTGGCACTGCAAGCACAAAGTCTTTATTTTAAAAAAGCACAAAAACAACCCAAGCCCGGATTCCTTCTTGGGTCCTGGGCAACCCTAGATGAATGGGGTGCGTGCGTGGAGAAGGAGAAGGACGCGCGTGCCCGAGGGTGCCCGGCGCTCGGCGGGGGAAGAGGCAGGCGCGCGCGCGCGCCAGGGAGGAAGGGGTGAGGCGGGGAGGAGCAGGCTCTGGAAAGAGGTGGGGTGGGGGTGGAAATGGCCGGAGCCCAAACTCCACCCTTGCCTCTCGCGGGCCCCGCCTCAGCTTTTGACGGGCCGGCCCTCGCCGTGGGTCGCCGGGGAGGGTAGAAAGCGGGAGGGTCGCCCGGCTTCCTCCAAGAGAAGGGGGCCTGACTCGGGCGCGCTCGCCCCTCTTCGCCTCGCCATGGTGTGCTACTCTTGCCTGGCGGTCGGGATCGCCGTCCTGACTTTGGCGGCCTTCCTCCTCAAGCGGTGGCTCCAGGCCGACGGCGACCTGACCTTGCTGTGGGCCGAGCGGTGGGGCAAGAAGCCTGGTAAGCGTCAAGAGGGAGGGGGGCGCCGTCCCGGAGCGCCCGCGACCCTCTCCGTGCCTCGCTCGGGCTGCTGCCCTTGCAGCTGCAGCCGCTGGTTCTTCGCCTCCGTTTTTTGGGGTGGTGCGGGGTGTGTGTGTTGTGAGGGACGGGGTCAGGACTGGACACGACACCCCCCCACACACACACCCTCACACCCACACCCACACCGTCCTCGGGCTGCGCGCAGTCCCAGCTACCCTTGGCAAAGGCGTCCCCAACTCTGGACAAACGTGGAGACGCTGGTCGAGCGAGCGGGATGCGTGTCCCCTGGCGGTCACATGCGTGTCACGAGCCTTCCGTGTGGAGGAGGCCCTGCAAATGGGCGGGCAGACCCGCGAGGCGAAATAAAGGCTCCCGAGTTTGCCGCTTCATAGTTTTATTACTATGTTGTTTAAATGATTTTTGCATAAATTGCTATGCAGTACGGCATTGCTTGTAGTTTTAGTACTATTTGTGGTTTCCATTTTTGTGTTTCTCATTTCTCAGAGTGGCATTATGTACAGTATACAGTATATATTTGTATACTTACTGATCTTGGCCCTGCTATTGCCTGTCAATGTTGTAAGATGCCCCTTCTTTATTCATGGTTCATTGTTTTAAACATTGTCTTTTACCGAGTTTAACCAGGGTTGTATACTCACTGTTTCCAACTTTAAATGTTGTCTTTTGTTGTTGTCGTTGTAAGCCGCCTCAGGCTCCCTTTTCAAGGAGCAAGGCGGGGTAAAAATATTTCAAACAAACAAATGAAACAAGTTGAAAATCCATGTCTGTAATGTCCACCAATTAGATTCTTGCAAGCCACAGCCGTGTTTGGGGCATATGTTGCTCAAAAGGAAGCCATAGATGCCCTCCTTGGCGTGCCACATGACCGCAGTAGGAGTGATTTCAGCACCCCTCCCAGTAGTGCCTTTGCCATCTTTGGAAAATGTGAGAGATCCATCTCGTTTGGGTCTAGTTTTAAAGGCGAGGGTCATAGATCAGGATCTCTGACTCAACCGCTGGGTGATCTGCACATATTGTGCAGACGTTTTTTGTAAAATTCCTGATACTCTAATAACAGAAACAACTAAAAGTTTTCCCCACCCCAAATTAGGTGGCTAGAAAGGAACGCTTGGGGAGGGATCAGAGAGGTTTGATGCGAAAGGACTTAACAGCTCTGGTTACAGCTCACACATTCTACAGGAATCTGTGCTGGCATATCAGGCAAGAACAAAATAAAAATTAAAGAAGACAAAAGCATTGTGGCATCTTAAAGACAAATTGCTAGTGAGCTTTTGTGGATGAGGCCACTTCCTCAGCCTGTTTAAGAAAGCTCATATTAAAATATAGCAGTTAGTCTTTAAGGTGCTACAGCGTTTTTTATCGTCTTTATTTTTTTACAGCTGTAGCTGTTGGAAAGTGATAAAAAAGACAAGAAATCCTGGAAGAAGTCAAATGTCTATGCATTTCGCCATTCTGGGCAGGGCCTGCTAATAGCTACTGATATTTGAGTGTAAATATCAGTAGCTATTCATGCAGAGACAGAAATGCAGAATCACTTCTGTTTTCTTCTGAAAGATTGGAACTACACACCCTTCGCCTGCGGTTATAGGGAAATAGCGAATTTTTGGAATGTTCATCAAAACCAAAATAGTTCTCCCTTGGCACTGGCAACATGTGAAGAAGTACTTTCTGCCTGCTTGTCACAGAGATAAGGAGCCCTTCAGAGGGAAAAAGTAGCAACTTCATTTGATTGCTTACAAATGTTTGAATATATAGTGCTTTGACACAGACTTTCAACAGTTGAACAACCAAAGGTCTGTGCTTAGAAGTTCATCTGTATGTGAAATGTGTGAATATGGGTAAATTCTTATAACAAATGAACTGAACTACATTTTTTCTCTTATTCCTAGCACATTGTTTCAGTGGTGGATAAACGGGTCTAATAAGCCTGTGGGTGAGAGTATTTGCATGAAATCAAACCCATGTATGATAGCATGATTTTTTTTGCATATGTAGCCAGAATTAAGCTCCACTGTTTTAAATTCAGCTGTGCTTTTAGTGCATATCTCTCTGTAGCGTTATTTTAATCAATCTGCAGTAGAATAGCTGCTACCACCATTTACTTATTTCTTTCACTTAAGCAATATTATGTGGATTTTGAAAATAAACTTGTTTAAAAAGAAAAGAACTTTAACATTCTGGAAATCAATAACCATCTACCCCCTGTTCCTGGATTGTCAACTGGCATCTTAGCTGAAATACCTACCAAACTGAAGTCTACATTTCAGTGTGAAGTGGGGCTCAGAAAAATCCGCCTTGAGTCCTTTTAAAGGAGAAAGGCGGGGTGAAAATATTTTAAATAAATTACATGTAAATATTATTCCTGTTGTGCTTTCACTGAACTAAACTGTTTAGGAATACACATTAATTCTCAGAAATGCGGCATAAATATTTAACCACTCTGTCTGCATGTGTGTATTTGAAGGGGAGGAAACTGAACAAAGTCATTGTTAAAGTAAAGTTAAAGTAACACAAAAGCCAATTACAGGATCTTTTGGTTTGGTTTTCTCATTCCTTAATGTTTCATGGAACAAATGTTCTGCTGCAGTAGGGCTGGTATTACATTATGCAATTGGTATGCTAGCAACTGCATAATTGGTAGCACACTCGTGCAACTGCCACCCAAATTATGTGGCAGTGGCAGGAGCTCTGTGGTGCAAGAGAATACCAGAGTGTCCAGTGTACCATAGAGTTCTGCAGGACTCAAGGCCAGAGTTTACTTTAATCTTCTGCCAGGAAAGGAAGTGTGGAGCCAGCTGATTTTTGCAGCCGTGGTGGTGGTGGTGGTGCTGTGGAGGCCTCCAAAAGGAGATTCAGGGTCTGCATGCAGCTTGGAAACCACATGTTTGCACATCTCTGTACTACATACAGCCTTGTACAACTTTGTGACCTCCCAAGCTTGATGCAGCTCAACAGCTGTGCATCATGTCCAGTGAGGACCCTGGCATTACCTGCCCACTCTTGATTTATGATTATAGGCTGACAGCAAAAACAACGGTTTTATTTACTTCTAGACTGTAGCAAGAGCTACCCTAGGTGTTCGGTAATTTGTATTGTCTGGATAGCCCCCGCAGGTTGTGTAACTGACTCTAGATTTAGGTAAATGCAGCTCGCCTGCAGAAGTCAGCTTCCCTACTCCCACTTTCTCCACAACTGTTCACTCAACCCCCCAAATGGGGACCGTGCTAAATGGTGTAGGATATGGTACAATTGAAAGAACAAGAGCCATTTGTCTGCCCTCCACCCATCCTGTAATTTCCCCCATCAATGTCTATCTTGGCACGGGGATTAATGAAGATAACCTTCTCTAATATACATAGCTGAATAATAGGATTCACTGATCCACAATATACAGTAGTACCTATTACTCGCATGTGTTCCCCTAAACATGGAGATTTGATTTAGCTACGTAACTAATAGCAGTCAGTACCCACGATGTGTCTAAATTTTTCTAATGCAACCTTCCCGGAGACACTTCTGATGTGTGGGACTACAGCCCCCTGCCACCCTAGCCTACATGGGCATTGTTGCACCCGTGGGGGATTGTGGAATGTGTAGTCCAGTGTATTGGGAGTGCACCAGATCGGTTGGACTACCCATGTTTCTTTTGAAAGTCGTCTAAGCTAATGGCCATACCTGTATCTATGAATCCTACTAGTTAATGAAGTATTGTATAAAGAAGTAACTGTATAACTCTCCTATGCCTTCTTGGGCAAAAACTCTCAGAAGCTTTCAGCACTAGCTGTGCTGGACAGGATTTCTGGGAGTTGTAGTCCAAGAACATCTGGGGACCCACGGTTGGGAACCACTGATCTAGAATGTCAGAAAGTAGCATGTAGAGCAATGATGGTAGTGGTCACACACCATAGAGTAGGATAGGACCTCGGAAGAGTGAGAAGTAGTAAAAGCAAGATACTGTAGTTCAGACCATCCATTGGGCAAACTTTACAGTCTTCCGTTTCCAGATGTTTTTCACCACAACTCTTTTCGTCTCCAGCCAGCATCATCAATTGAATATCAGGGAAAACTTCCTAACTGTTAGAGCAGTACGACAGTGGAACCATGAGGTCAAAATTCTGAATTGATGGGCAAAACGGACAATGGACAAATGAAACTGGCTTGCTCGTACTGAATATTTCAGTAGCTGAAACATAGTGGCCAAAATCCTCTTGCGTGCTGTGAGTGGGTCAAAGCTGCAGCTTTCTAAACTGTTACCTTAATGTAGACATTGGGGAACGTCTATGAGAGATTGAGAGTAAGTGCAATGGTCAAACCAGCAACCTTTATTAAACTCATCTAGACCAGCCGTCCCCCATCCAGATCTTTTGAGAGCCTCTCTAGTACAGCGATTATGATGTTGGTCTGGATCATAAGCGATATCTAGGTTTAGGTTCCAGTAAGGGATGAAAGTTGGTGGGTGATTTTGGATCTGTCACTCTTGGTTTGTCCTACCTCACAATGTTGTGGTGAGAATAAAGCAGGGCAGAGGATAGTTGACTTGATTTCTTTCGAGCAACGGCCAAAAATCAGTGGAGCAAAGAAATGAGTGCATTTTTTTTAAACTAGCACTGACAGCCAGCCCAACAGTGATGCTGGCAATTATAAATGCCAAATCTCTGGAGGATGCAACCTTTGGTATGATTTGTGTCATAGGTCACTGTGGCTTATGAGTGAGTCATGCTGTTGGTGCTATGCTGGTGTAACAAAACACTCAGGATGTTGCCACAGTGGAGGAGCCCAGCGTTGTACAAATGAGGTGGAGATGTAAAGAATTTAATGGGGCAGGTTTGGAAAGGGAGACTCTTTAAACCACCCCATCATCCTGAGTTTGCATTTCTGCATTGTGATACCAAGAATTTTTTTGCTTGGCTTTGCTTTTTTTTAATGTCTGGAATGAAGTAAGGTATGCTGTGACTTGAGCATGAAAAAATGAGAGCAGTAGCTAGTCGCATTCTGCTTTTTCCTGTTTTTTTTTTAAAAATAGTTGCCACTGCTCAGTAAAGAACTTTGTACTCGCCTCGTAAGAAAGCTGAGTTATCAGTAACAATTATTACATTCATGGAATATCTGTCAAAGTTTAACTGTGTTCCAAAAGCATCTCAAAACTAATGGAATAATATTTTGTGCTGGACTGTGTACATTTTATACTGTATTTGCTAAACCTAGCATGCTATTTGTCAGCCTTCCTCAGCTTAATGCCCTCCGATGAATTATACTGCAACTCTTATCAGCTCCATGTAGTTCAGTACATTTAGAGGTCATCAAGTTAGGGAACTGTTATTTGTGACTGTTAGTACCTAAGAATGAAGACTTGGTATGCAATGGATAAAATCTGTTAAGATTTCTTAAGTTATGTCAATTCACTTTGAAATGTTACACTTTTCCCGTAACTGTAACAGGATTTAGGCCTACATTACCTTTATATAATGACATCTTGGATAAGTCATGGTTTCTGCTACAGTCAGGATCTAGAGTTAGCCGGTATCTTTAAGGCCATAGTTATATCTTCTGGTATTAGTAGTCCAAAAGCATTAAAGAAGCCTTAAAAACTACAGTACTGTATTCCAGAAAAGCAAAGAGGCAAGGCAACAGAGAATCAATCTGTCTTTAAAAAGTAGACAACAATATAACAAAAAACACTAACCACTCACACAGCCTAGGGCAGGGGTGAGCAATTAATTTCTATAGGGGGCCACATGAAAAATCTGAACTGTGTTCGGGGGCCAAACCAATTTTACTTAAAAATAAAATGAAACAGTGATGTTATGATTGTTTTTATTTTAACCTTGTTAATCTTCACAAATACTAAAGAGGTTTTTTGCTGTATGTTAAAGATAAACAACTGATCAACTTTAGACAAAAAGTTATAAATGGTTTTGATTTTCAACTTGTTCAGTGAGAGAAATCCAGTCTGTCTTGGGCTTGAACAAGTGCTTGGACACCAGACTAGAATGACGACCAGTGGGCCAGACAGGAGCAGCTCGCGGGCCCTATGTGGCCCTTGGGCCACACTTTGCCCAGGTCTGGCCTAGGGGCACATTGGCACAGTCACCAAGTCAGTCCATCCTCAAGGCCCACATGCCCCAACAGAAGCAAACAAAGCACCCCCCTCTGAAAATAAACTCACCAAAATATACACCTTTAAGGGAATAAATATACAGTACGTTAACCAAGTGACTGTTTTAAAAAAATCAATCAAACAGGGAAGGTGTCTGCACTTTATAAGCTTAAATCATGTCCAGGAGTGCCTCTCTTCATATCCAGTGATTCCTACAACTCCATTTTCTGACCCTGTAACTCTGTCCAGAAAGCTACTTTGGGCATTATCATATTTTCCAGAGGCAGAAAAGTTTTTTGGACTATGATGTACAGAATCCTGCAGTTGACACTGTAGTCATGTCAGAGACTGTAGTAATGACAGTTACTTGAAGTGTTCCCTCTTTTCATATGTAACCTGCCTCTCCTTTACCTCTGCTGATGTTGTCAAAATAACTTCACTTCCTCACCCTCATCTCCTTCATTCTCTCTTTCTCTTACCTCTGCAGCTAGCTGTTGCAACCTTCTGTTGCAAGCCCTCTGTAATGAAAATCTTTCCCTCTTCTTCAGATGATTTTTGTCACTTATTCTGAGCACTCACTGCCTTCTCTACATGTCTAATTATTCCAGTTTGCAATGATGCAAGTATGAGAGAAAATGTGTTGCATTGTTGGTAGCAAAAATGCTGAATACTTGGGAGACAAATTTGGACGTACACCTTCCGTTCAGAAGAAAACCAAGAATGTATCATCCTGATGCCTCTTGCCAAAGTGAATCCCAGCACAGCAAACGTAAATTATCTTAGGGTTTGCTTAGTAAAGATATTTCACCTCTGATTCTTTGACATTTAGCAATGCATCTCCCTGTCTGTGCAAACTCTTAGCACTGACCCTGACATCATTCTGGTGGTCACCTTGCGTCAATTATCTAGAATAAAATTTACAGTACTTTCTTTTGCTACGTAACTGTAAAGTGGCTGACAGTTTCCCTGAACAGCCTTTGAAGCACAAAGGTGAGGGTGTGTACACTCAAAACATCTAAGAGAGCTGGCACTGTAAAAACTAATATATTTGTTAAAGTTTAAGCTTTTATGGCAGGCTGAGCCAAAAAGACGTCTCTAAATGTTGTTGGCCTAAAATCTCTGTACTCTTCAACATTGGCTGTGGCGCATAGAATCATAGAGTAGTGGAGTTGGAAGGGGCCTACAAGGCCATCAAGTCCAACCTCTGCTCAATGCATGAATGCAATCAAAGTATATCTGCCAGGTGATTATCCATAAGGGGTTCAAAGAGATTATATAGCCCAACAACTTCTGGAAGGCTGCATTTCCCCCCTCTGTTTTATGGCAGATGCTTTGAGGTACCACAACGCTTGGCTGTTTTTGGTAAAAGAAATGAAACGCTCATTCTTTGTGTGTCTACCCACATGTTCATCCTGCCCAAGTAACCATGAGAAAACTCTTCCCTTTAACCAGTTGTTTTGTGTTGTCTTTTCAAACTCCCAACAGAGAAAGAGCTACCTGGAAAGGTTGTCTGGGTGACTGGGGCCTCCAGTGGAATCGGCGAAGAACTCTCCTACCAGCTAGCAAAAATTGGCTCGCTGCTTGTGCTGTCAGCAAGAAGAGAGAATGAGCTGGAGAGGGTGAAGAAGAAGTGCCTGGGTAAGGCGTCTTTATTTCTGAAGCTTGCTTTTCGTCTCCAAATAAACGTTGATCTGCGTATTCTTTCTAAGTGGATCACAAAGTTTTTGTGGTATGTCGGGGTGTAAAGGGCAACCTTAGTCCTCGGAAACTGCTGGAGTAATGGTTCTCCTGTTTTTGGCCAAAGGAATTGGGAAAGGTTAACAGGGCGCATAAAAACAGCTTGGGATCCATCATTTCCATCCCAAGCTAGGACATTATGTGAGTAAACAACACAACTCATGCACATATAAAATAGATATACTGTAGATATTTGTATACATATTCTCTGTATTCTTCTTGTAGCTTAAAACTTTAGTTTTCTTAATAATTCCAATCTGAGCAAATTTTTCATCTCTTGGTTGTAGGTTTTTCGGGCTGTTTGGCCATGTTCTTAAGGTTTTTCTTTGTAACGTTTCATCAGTCTCTGTGGCCGGCATCTTCAGCCCGAATATTGTTTGTAGGTAACAAAATGCAGCATCCACACCAGAATCGAACAACATGAGAGACACTGCAGACTAAAACAACCAGAAAAATCAGCAGTAGCTGAACATGCCGTGAAACAAGCTGGACATGAAATTCTATTTCAAAACACGGAAGTACTGGCCAACACCAGCAAGCATTATGTTAGGCTGCACAGGGAAGACATTGAAATCCACAAACACCAGCAGAGCTTCAACAAAGAAGAAGAAAGTCTAAAACTCAAGGAAGCCTGGCTCCCAGCACTGAAAAATACAGCCTGAAAAAGGTCAAGAAACTCTACCCAGCTAGGAGGACTGGTGATCACTGCACACAAAAGACCAGCTAATGACACCCATCAATCACAGTGACAGATCATCTCTCTCCCTTATCACAACAATACACACAACAAAAAACATGCTGATCACCATAATCACCCAATCTCCTGAAATGGACAAAAAGCTGATCCCACAGCATAGCTATAAATACTCAACTACAGTATTCCACAAATTGCAAAGAGCACAGACAGAGTTCTGACTCCTGTCCTCTGAAGATGCCAGCCACAGAGACTGGTGAAACATTAGGAAGAACGACCTTCAGAACACGGCCAAAGAGCCCGAAAAACCCACAACAACCATTAGATCCCGGCCGTGAAAGCCTCCATGAAGAAAATTTACCCTCTGCTGATGCAACGGCAGTGTTTGTGCAAGGGGTGCAATCCCACATGACGTCACTGGCAGGACCTTCCGCTCTGTGGAAGCGCAGCAAAGCCATCCAAGCGATATCATGGTGTTGCTTTAATAATAACAGCAGCAAATGATACAAAGAACTCTTCTTTCTAGAAGGGTGGGTTGCAAACGAGAGAACTGGGATGAGATGAACAGTACACTGCTTATCTTCTTTGAAAAACATACTGTTCATTACTTGGCCAAAGTGGTCTTTAGCATGTCGGAGTTTGCTCAGAGTCCGCAGATCGTCATAAGAACGGCTTCTCAGGAGGGAGTTAAGCCAACTCTTTGGTCATGCTATGGTGTTTACTCAGTTCGAGATCAGCATTAAAGTACAAATATGCCTGTTTGTTTTTTGTTTAATAAATAATCGTGTGCCATCAAATCAATTCTACGTTATGGTGATCCTTTTCAGGGTTTTCCAGGCAGGGAATACTCAGAAGTGTTTTTTTTTCCTGGTGTCATCTTGGGAATTGTTCAGCTTGCCCAAGGCCACACAGGCTGGTTCTCCTCACAGGAGGCATAGTGAGGTATTGAACTCCCAAACCTCTGACTCCACAGCCAGTCACATCTAAACCATTGAGCTATCCAGCCAGCTTGTTTTTCAGTTTAAGAAGAAGCAAAGTGACTGTATTGGCCTAGAAGAAAAATCCAGAACCCATAGGACGAGACTTCAAACCTCAAAGTGGAAAAGTAGCACACGAATGAGCAATATGTTTTTTGATAACCAAAGCTGGCCTGGTCTCAGGGTGTCAGAAATATGGCTTAGGGAGACCCTGTTGCCCTCTTGATCGTATACTGGTCTGTTAACTGGTGACCAAACAAGTCAAAAATTCCAAATCTTTATTTTATAAGCTTCGAGAAATTCAGAACAATCATGTTGTGTAGAGGTTTTGTTGATCAGTCTCTCTTTCTCTACTGACCTCGTTTGCTTGAAACGTCGCCATGTGGGCCAATGGAAAGAACTCCCTTTAGCATCGTCATGTTGGCGCTGAGCAAAGGAGATTGATGTGGAAAGAACTCAGCTCCCTTTAGCATCATCATGTTGGCGCTGAGCAAAGGAGATTGATGATTAGTATGATCTGGTTCTTTGTCGGTGCCTGACAGCCCCTCGTTTTTGGCGGGAAACGCCAAGAGAGAAGAGGGTTGCTTAAATACAAACTCTTTATTAACAAAATTTGGCAGTTTTTCCACTACTACTTCGATGGGGTCAACATGTTCAATGCTAACAGGAAAATCTGCCCATAGCAAGGGCAATGTCTTTTCGTAACTGTTTTTCTTTAATGGAAAGACTGTCCGGAACCGCTCCTGGGCCGTTGGCTTTCTCAAGTAGCCACCCCGAACCGCACATATCATCCCACAGCAGGGATGACGAGACCAGTCTCCTTTGGGTGGCTTCTCATTTGGCTGAACCAGTCCTGGTTGGATCACCTTCTTCCAAGGACCCCGTCCTGGAGGATACACTAAGACCGTCCATTCCTCTGGTACTAGTCCTTCTATGATCGGTTTCCCTTCTTCCGTTTCATCTCTGCTTCTTTGCGTTCCCGACTTTCATAACCTAATCCTGGAGGGTACACTAAGACCGTACATTCCTCTGGTACTAGTCCTTCTATAATCGGTTTCCCTTCTTCCCGTTTCATCTCTACTTCTTTGCGTTCCCGACTTTCATAACCTAATACCTCTGTGGAATTTTAAACACTCTGCTTTCTCCTTCTACCTCCAGCCATTCTTCTTCCAACACTACCACTTTCGTCGCCTCTCCTGATTTCTTCCCCTCCTCTGATGTTAAGAAAACATCTGTCTCCTTCCTCTCCCCTTTTCCAGATTCCCTCCCCTCTTTTTCCACCTTTAACTCCTTCATCCCTTCTGTAACTTTCACTACCTCTTCCTTTCTTGCTTTTCTATCCATTTCCTCCTCTACAGACCTATGGGGGGGCGGCTCACTCTCTCTCTTTTATCTTCCTGTTCACAATTGGTTCTAAGCTTTTACTACAAACCCACGTTCTGCATTGTATTTGCTCAACAAACTGAAGGCAATAAGGTATCGTGATGTGCTTGTCCAAGCGGGTTTAATCATTTACTGATCCTTCAAGTGTTTTTCATAGCCTTTAAATTCTAATGTGACATCCAAAGCTAGGTGAAGTCCTTGTTTCTGGACGGTGTCTCATCCGTGTTGATTGAAGGTTTCTGGAAGTTATAAACACAAAACTTTGCTAAGCTCTGTACATAACAGATACAATGGAACGGTCAAGAATGAATGGATCCACAATTACTGCAGTGGCTGATGTAGGAAAAATAAACCCAGATTGTCAATTAAACATGCAGTCTGTATGTGCTTGTGAAGTGGGGGTTGGGTGATGTTGTGCTTTCTGGCTGTTTGGCCATTGCAGACGGCTTAAAGAAAATCAGCAGAGAGCTCTTTTCTGTACCTGGTTCCAAGTCTCCTGCTTTGTGAAATTTGGAAGAAACTATAGGCATTCCATTCTGTATAGAACTAATGGCAGCAACAGTTTTTGAAAGTATTGTGGCTGAATATACTGTAAATTAAAATAAAGAGCGCTTTATCTCCAAGACTTGCTTTGTTTATTGCATTCAACCAACACTTAATCTTTTCATTTTTTTCAGAGCTCTAGCATAACTTTTTTAAATTACCGTATTTTTCGCTCCACTATAGGCATTCCATTCTGTATAGAACTAATGGCAGCAACAGTTTTTGAAAGTATTGTGGCTGAATATACTGTAAATTAAAATAAAGAGCGCTTTATCTCCAAGACTTGCTTTGTTTATTGCATTCAACCAACACTTAATCTTTTCATTTTTTTCAGAGCTCTAGCATAACTTTTTTAAATTACCGTATTTTTCGCTCCATAAGACACTCAGAGCTCTAGCATAACTTTTTAAAATTAAATGTTTCTTTTCTTTAAAAAAAATTAAGATGTTCAAAGACAGATCTTCTTGCTGAAGTGGGCATTGTGGTGTTTGATATATTGTATGCTACGTTTTGCATTTGGAAAGGTTTTCATTTTCCTTCTGTGACTTTATTGGCAATTGATGAGAATTTGCTTTGAAAGTTGATCCTGGAAAGTACCTTTATGCTAGGTTTTTAGACTGGCATCTCTTCTGTAGGAAGAAAACCACACTGTGACCAGGCTCTTGCTAGCCATCTTGGCTTTCTGACTGGCAGACCTGGGCTTGTATTGTTTTCTAATCTTGTCTGTGACATCTGTTTTGTTTAAATTGCTTCAACCTTCCATTCATCCTTCTTCCACAACTAAATGTTTAATCTCCTGAGTTTTTCAGTTGTCGTTCCCTTTCCTTCATATTAAAATTCCGATTATACTTGTTGGAGCCTGATGATGCAGTGGTTAAACTGCAGTGCTGCAGCCAATACTCTGCTCACGACCTGGGTTCAATCCCAGGTAACGGGCTCAAAGTTCCCTCAGCCTTCCATCCTTCCATAGTCAGAAAATTGAGTACCCAGATCTCTGGAAGGGCAATGTGTAGCCAGCCTAATTAAATTGTGAAGCATTGTGGGGGGTTGAGTTCTGGCTCCATGTTTTCTTCGAATAAATTGACAGACTTCTTTGGTTTGAAAATAGGAGTCACATTTATTGGATTAATTAAAAAACATCCTATATCTACAAACATATTTCAACCATTATCTCCCTCTAACAACAGGTTAGGAGGGGGCTTCTAGTCTTCAACTTTGAGCGGATTAGTCTCCTGAGTATTCCAGGGACCTGGCCAGTCCAGGGTACAGTCTGCGTTTAATAATTGTCCATTCCCCCCCTCCAACAGGGGTACAATGTCTTCATTCCGGTCATCTGTCCATATTGGATACCGGGAGGAGGCATTATCTGGCCAAAGTCTCCCGAATGACCTCTCTGCTGCTGCATCATCAGCCATTCCAATCTCTCTCTCTTCTTTATTTTATTTTATTTATTTATTTGATTTGATTTGTATCCCGCCCATCTGGTCTACTCTGAGCGGCTTCCAATATAACATAAACAATTAATAAAATAACACAAAATGACATAAATCTTCGAATGAGAATGTAAAAAACAGGGGGGGGAAAGAGGAAAAATAAATAAGGGGGGGAAAGAGTAAAAATAAATAAAGAAGGGGGGGGAACTCTCAGCCTTCTCTTTTCCTCCCTCCACTTCTTCCTCCACTCCTTCATCTCATGCTCTTCCCCCAATAAGAGGGCTTAGGTGTAAGCTCACTCCTTTTCCGGGCATCTGCTTCTTCTCTTCGGACCCTCAGCTTCTCCACCTTCCCAGTCCACGGGTCCTCTAGCCATATCCACTCCCAACCATGAGGCAAGCTGTCCTCCCCCCTCTTTATATCCCCCAGCCCCGCCTCTACTTCTAACCGGGGCTGTCGTTCTTTTCCCGCCAAAATTTTCCCGCCTTCTCCAACGGAAATTCCTCTCAATTCCTCCTCAGGTGGTCTAATCTTCCTGGGGGGGGATGGGTGGTGTTTGCACCCCCTTGTCGGCAGAGAGTGGGAGGGACCGGCACCCCCTTGTGAGGGGCCTTGCTCTCACCGACGGCCTCACAACCGCCCAGAGAGTGCTTTAAATGCTGTGGGGTGGTATATAAGCAACACACATTGCTCTTTATTTGGATCCACTGTATCCACGAGTCTTCTCCTTTCTTGCTAATCACCTCAGTATCAAAGATCTGTTTGTTCATTGTTAAAATCAGCTGGCTCACTGAAAAAAAAATCACTCATTTTATATTGTTTAAGCTAAAACCATCTCTGTGTAGAACCTGGAATTTTCAAGAGAGCCTTATTGGTCCTGTTCTTCCCAAGCTCCCGGTTCTGGCTCCCCGGGCCCATGTCCCAAGTTTTTCCAAGGCTCCTTTGCCCGCTGTTGGCTGCAGAAAGTTGTACTGCATCACAGCTATGTTTTCAAGACCAGAACCCAGGAAAAATACCTTTCAGAACCTGTAGGTGTGTGTAAAGAAAATTTTTAATTTACATTTTAAAAGTTTGATTGAAAGTCACTTTTCCCCCACCTTTCCCTGGTTACCCATGGTCAGAATCACGACCCGTCTTCCTTGTCCATTTTGTGCAGTACCCCTTGTTGCTGCTTCCAAGGCGCTTTTTGTTTATCAAAACCCTCTGGAGGAGTCAGACAAGACAAGAAGTGGCTTAGAAATGGCTTTAGGAAATGGGAAGTGTGGAAAAGAAAGGATGAACATTGCAGAAGGATGAAATTTTGTGTGCTTGCATGCATGAAATCTAATAAATA